AAAAAAAAAAACATGACTGCTACTGCTGAACCCAGGACACGAGTGCAGCCTCATAGTGTTTCTTACATAGGTTAGGATCAGTGACTGAAAAAACTCTACAGAGAAACTGCTCACACAACCACACAAAATGATAACAAGCTTCCCCACCCTCAGAGCAAGAGTAACATAAATCATAGCCTGCTTCGAAAAATATCACAACTCTTCACACTGTGTTATTTTCTCTGCATTGAAACAGATCTAATTTAATTTAATTCTGTCTTCCTCTTTCCATCAAAGGAAAACCTAGATTTTTTGAGAGTCTTTTCTTTTTACCTACTTTTTAAAATGCATTAGCAAACTTTAACACTGTTATAAACAAACACATTTAAGTCTGTCTTCCCCTGAAAAGGATTAACACATACCAGACATTCTTTCTCTGTCTACAGCTGCCTGAGAAAATGGTCTTTGTAGCAAATCTGTAAAAAAGTGATTCAGGCTACAATGTGCTATACCTCCCATTGCATTATGTAGAAGCCTAGCCTGTAAACCCATTTCTGCTTCTGCAGAACTACAGCAGGGGAGAATCATCTTTAAAGTTCTCATGGACAAGGTGGATATATCAGTAGCCCAAGCCAACAGAAGAATTATTGAGAAAATTAAGCTAAACAGAGCACAGTTATCTGAAAGGCAGTGCACATCTTGGGATCTGAAGGTGTAGCAGAGACACTGCAGAAACATTGACATGTGCCTTCCCTCTGAAAGGGCTCAAGTTGTTGAATGGCCTTCGTATGCAGCACATTACAATAATTATTGCAGTCAATCAGTGACCTTGTCAGTGCTGCAAACAGTGTCAAGCATGGGTGTCGTGGTTTAAACCCAGTCAGGTAACTTGTTCACTCACTCCCAGTGAGTGGTGCCGAGCTGACAACAATCAAGGTCCGTGGTCCCCCCCCTCCCCGGGGCTCTCCCCTTCCCTGCTCCCGGAGGAACGGGGAGGAGGATCGAAAGAGTGCAACTCCCACGGGTTGAGACAAGAACAGTCCAGCAACCAATGTACAACACAAATCACCACCGCTACTATCAACTACAACACTGATACGGGAAAATAACAAGGGAAGAGAATACGATACCACCGGCCAAGAAAACGAGTTCCACCCAGAAGCCCGTGTCCTTCCGGGTAACTCCCAGTTACCCCCCACCCCGGGCATGACATGCTGTGGTATGGAATACCTCCCTGGCTAGCCCGGGTCAGGCGCCCCATCTCTGCTTCCTCACAGCTTCCCCTCCTCCCTGGCAGAGCATGAGCCTCACAAAGTCCTTGGTCAGGGTAAACATCACTTAGCAACAACCGAAAACATCGTCTTCACCAGCACTGTTCCCAGGCTGGAAGTCAAAACACAGCACTGCACCAGCTACCACGAAGGAAAAACATGACTGCTGCTGCTGAACCCAGGACAATGGGGTACAGCAAGGGGTGACAGGGCTGCTAGGGAACTAGATGGTCTTTAAAGTCCTTACCAACCCAATCCATTCTATGATTCTGTGATCCCTCAGCACCAGCAGAGAGGCAAAGCATCAGAGGAGTCTGGAGACACTGTGGGCATTCTCTGTTGAGGTAGAAAACAGTGAGGTGAGCTGAGTCATCTTTGTAGCATCAGTGATGTAGCAGATTGACCACCCCAGGGAGCCAGAGCTCCTCCCTCACTGTTGCTATGCTCATTTTGGAAAACAGTCCTGGTCAAGAAAAAGATGGAAAAGGGGAAGGTGAGGAAATAGCTGGAAAATTTTACCAAGTGCAGTTCAATCTGTTGCTTGTTGTTAACAGGGTAGTAACCTGAAACTCCCACTCTGATGTTAGTTGTAAGCAGCAACTGCAGCTCTATGGTGATGGAGACGTTAATGGATCCACACACATCTTAACTACCAACCATAACTTTTTTTTATATTAAGTAATAAGGTCACTAGGGGCTTTTCTAAGGTGCTTTATGGTGCTTTTCAATATTTTGGAGCCTCTAATGGGCTATTTAAGCCAAATAGTCTGGAGATGCATCAGTGAAAGTAGAAAAACAGTAAAAAAAGGGGGAAAAAGTTGCTTGTAATTACAAGTTGTAGTGAGAAGGTAAAAGGCTTATATTGCTTTCTGAACATCGTTGCTTTTATATTGACCAGACAAGGGCCTCTCAGGACAAGGAGAATCCAGCGGTGACTTAGATGTGCGGGACAGACTGAAGCAAAGGTTTCTTTACCATTTTACACTTTTTACAAGTGTGTGACATGTTGATGGTTTGAGAAGAGTTCAATTATCAGCACCGAACTCCTAAAACCTAGTTCATTTCTTCAGACTGTTGGTTTCTTTTGGCTTAGCAGAAGGCTGCTTGTATTCCATGTCTTTTCTGGGGAACTTGCAAATGGGCTAGGACTAGCCAAAACAGCCTAAAACCTTCATGCACAAACTGAGAGACAAGGAGCATGGAGGCCACCCAAGGGAAGCATTGCTAACAGCGTTCAGTAACATGGCTCCTAGGAATACAAGGAGGATTCCTTGCTCACTGTGACAGCAGCTCACAGCAGAAGGCAGAAATAGAGGCATGAAAGTCTCTTTGTTCACTGAGCAGATGGAAATGTTTGGCCACTTTGTGGATTTCTTCTTGCCATCTGGACTGGAATTGCCCTTGTTTTCATACCATCCGGCATTAATGTTTCCCAAAGTTGTGCCTTAAATGGAGCAAAAATACTCTACAGCATATTAACATGAGCATATCACAGTAAATGGCTTTATACATAATACAACATGGTCATTAGCCAGCTGTGCCCATAAAGCACCAAGAGGAGGCAGCAGGATGTAAACCAGGTTCTTCAGCTCTGAAGGCATTAGACTCAGGGCTTAGCGGAGCTCTCCTGGCCTTCATGTTGCAATGGAGAGTGCTTTTCCATCAGCAGTTGTCATACCTCTCTAGGGTCTTCTATGACATTTCAAAAAGCCTGTAAGCCATTGGCTAGCTAATTACATAGCAGGCATCAACTCCTGAGTGATAATCATAGATCTGTTGGCCATGATAATTTTTAAACCTTCCTTCCTTACTGCCAGTCAGGTTTGGACAGGTTTATATCTTGTGGTTTACCAAAGTAGGAGCATCTCATACTGGCCTAATGTCTGTACCTACCTGTTCATCATACTACTGTATTTCTAGATAATTAGAGGAAGAAAAAATATTTGATTATATAGTATTGAAGATTTTTATTAGCAAAAGTTTATGGCCACAAGTTTTATTGGCCGAAGTTTTATATCCACACCAAGTTATGTATGTCATCCTTAACAAGTGCCAGTAAAACTTTTCTGTTGTGCCACATATGCTATCACATATTCAGAACCACCATTTCTGTTTTAATATCTGCATTGCCTCTTCGAGACAAGAAATGGGCCTGATGGTCCTAAAAGCTTCCCCCGTGGGCTCTCCTACAGAGCTGACACACTTCTACTGGTGAAAACCAGAAACAAGCACTGTTGTGGGTTCTCTTTGCCCTGTTCTCTTTGGCACCTAAGATCCTGGAAGGTCTCGGAGGTAAATGGTAAGGATTAGTATATTCTAAGTATATAACTAAGAGTGAGGTTGAATGCTGAAGGTGTGGTTGGCTGGTTTCTGAAAAGTGAAGTTGTATTTTCTGTTACCCAGTAGGGGGATTGAACTAGGCAGGTAGAAAGGGCACAAATTATGATATTTGATAGACTGATTTTTCAGCAATGTTTTGGCTTAGTTGGTTGTTGCTTAAAGTTGACTTGCAGGGAGTCAAGGAGAGAGAATTTTTGAAAGCTCAGTGTAAAATCAGTGAACAGATAAATCATAGAATCATAGAATGGTTAGGGTTGGAAAGGACCTTGAGATCATCTAGCTCCAGCCCCCCTGCCATGGGCACAGACACCTCACACTACACCATGCCACCCAAGGCTCTGTCCAACCTGGCCTTTGAACACTGCCAAGGATGGAGCATTCACAACCTCCCTGGGCAACCCATTCCAGTGCCTCACCACCCTTACAGTAGAGAATTTCTTCCTTATATCCAATCTAAACTTCCCCTGTTTAAGTTTTAACTCGTTACCCCTTGTCCTATCACTACAGTCCCTAATAAAGAGTCCATCCCCAGCATCCCTATAGGCCCCCTTCAGATACTGGAAGGCTGCTATGAGGTCAGGAGCAGATAAATATCTTTAAAGGGGAAAGAATGTTTCCTGATAAATACCTGTAAGCAGTAAGTGTGGAAACAACCACACCTGCTGTAAAGAAAATGAAGCAAAAGCTTTTGTGGTTGTTTCATTTTAAGAAGACAAATGATTTGCCCTTCTCACATTAAAGCATCAGAGCTCATGCAGCACAAGTTAGAGAGGTGACAGGATCAGATTCTGGAGCATTGGAAACCTGGAATTTGCTTTAGTCTGAAACAAAGATATTCTCAACCCTCTGATACGGAGATGCACTTGCTTTCACACCTGAACTGCAGTGGAGTTAAGTTAGATGGAGTATTCATCTCAAACAGAGACCTTTCTTTACCCTGGGGGAAAAAAAAACCTTGGAACTGCAGTTCCATACTACAGTCTCTGAGATAGTCACACTGTATGAGATCATTGTAAGAGGGAGAAGAAAATAAAACAGGATCTGGCTCAGACTGGCAAACAACAACAAGCTGCCAAGTGATCATTTTAGTGCTGCAGTAGTTTGCCTCTGCAAAATTCAAGGACACCTATCAGAAAAGCTTGTTGGGGAAAATCTTTTTAAACGGGGCACTTTGTGGTGGCAGGTTCAGTTTAGAAGAGCTGTGTTTTGAGACAGTGCAGTATTTCTTTACCAGGGATAAAAAAAAAAAATGCAGATTTTGTAATAAGCAATTCTATTTAGTGTGCTACTATTGTATTGCATTTTTTAAAGTACTTCTGTTTAGGGTTAGCACATATCACTATGTGCCTAGTAGCTCTATATGAGCCTGAGATAAAATTTACTGTGTATTCACTGTATTTTTTGTATCAATTCTCTCTTCCCTTGAAAAGATGCAGACAGTGAGTGGCTTTGCAATAGGCAAGCTGTTGTGCTTTCTCATTGTAATGACAGCAGAGGAAAAGCAATCAAGAAAGGTAAAACAAAATGCCTTTTTTATTTAAAGGATAGTGAATACATTCCCCTCTATCAGTGGTAACAGGCATTGCTTAGAGAAAAAGTTGCCAAGTTGAATGGTATGTTTCCAAAGGACATGAATATGACTTTGTTATAAGCGGGTGTTCTCTGAAAACTACTTTCAGCCCCTGGGGTCTGTATTATTTTTCTTGCTGGTTTGTCCTATAATACCTCCCCTTTTCCCAAAATCAACTGACTGTTGTGTTCTTATGTACTAACACCATCTCAAAGTCTGAAATCAACTGACCAAATACTTGTGGCAGAGCCATTTAATTTGAAGGAATTTGAACCCAGTGTCATAATTCGGTCCTGGTTCACTGCTTTGGCTGAGACACCAAGTCTTGAAGTGAACTTCGTTTACTTCAGTCCTGTTGTTTTCAGGTATTTGTTCTGATGCTGTCATCTTTGCATTAGTTATTGAATGATGAAAAAGAGCAGAATTAATGTGTTGTTTTACAGTGGCAACTTTACATATAAATAACAAACAACTGGAGAGGTCATTACCTGACATTATACTTCAGTTGTATGATAAGTATATGCTCTTGGAGACCTTTTCACAGCAGTCCTGATGGGAAAGAGCATAGGGATGGGGCGGGGGGTATTATTATTGCTTTGTTTTTCCTTTAGCTGTGGAATGTCTATTATAAGATAGCGTAGTTTTTCAGGTACCAAGAATACACATTCTTGATTTTGATTGTGTTATGAGATGGGAATTGCAGCTTCTGGGGCCAAGGACGACAAAAGATTTGGTTTGTGTTGTGAAGAGTGCAGTCTTTGCTATTGATCTTGGTGCAATGTTCTTGTTGGCAAACTAGGAGACTATAATACCCCTGCTCTCTTAAATAAGATACTGCATTGAGTTAGCTCTGCTTAGTACTGTTAGATGAAAACTCACTATCAGTTGTCTTGTACATCCATCATTGCAAAGTATAGGCATCAGCTTCCAGAGGACACTACCTGTTTTATACAGCTATGGACTTCTGATGCTGGAGAAGGAACAATGACTCCTTACAGAGCACCAGAAAAACTAGCTGCTTTATCTAAAAATTCTGAGGCTTTTGCTATTCAGAGCATGTTTGTACCCCATCACAGTACTCCCATTTTTCTGTATCACAAGGCTGGTTTTTGCCTGGGCATCTACTTCATCCTGCAGTAGCTGTCTCAATTCTACTGTGTTACCGGTCAGCGTAACCAAACTTCTCCTCATACCTAATTCTGCCTTTCAGGGGTCAGGAGCTGCTGCTGAAATATTCTTTCATAATCTTTGATGTCCTCTTATTGCATACCACTGTACTAACAGTATAGCCTGGGGTTTTTGCATACGGAGCTTGCTGAGATACCAAAAGCAGATTATGGGGTACCATGTGGCAGTGGCAGCAGTAGTAGCTGCAAATAGCTTTTGAGTCCATATCAGGCTATATGCAGAGGCAGATGGCTGGTTGTTCCGGCAATACCTGATTTTCCCAAGAGAAAAAGATGGTCATCCTGATTCCTGTTTGTGTGCCATAGCCTGGGAGCCTTTCATGTAGCCATAAGCACAAACTCATCACAGATCCTAGAGACTTGGATTGGCAGTGGCTGGAGTTTGCAAAAGCAGTATTGTGATTTGTCTCTGAAAATCTTCCCTTGGTAAGTCAGCAGTGATGGTCAGTTACATTTTACAGAACTTTTCCTAGCTGCTGGAATACTGTATTATTGAAAATACCCCAGAACAACTATATTTTATGTCTCTACACCCCACCTCTCAGCTCCACTTTGGTATAGACATAATCTGCTAATTCATTAACATTATTGCTAGATCTGTGCAAGCCCAGAGTCATCAGCAATGAGAGTGTAAAACAAAGCAGCCAAGCAAATTTCAAATTCTGTTTTGTGGAAGGAATATAAAAGTGAAGCATGTGGTTTTTTTCTTTCCTCCATTACAGTATTTTGCATAAACTTTAATTACTCTCTTTGCTTTTTTGCCACGCCAAGTTCAGTAATGTACTAGAGATGAGTACTAGGCCCAGTATGTCACACTGAAAGGGTAAGGTTGTTAGCAAATTAAATTAAGTGAAATTTCTGGTCATTGTAACCACTGTTATTATAACCAAACTGAAAACTCTGAATTAATAGCTTTTTAAAGAACTGAAAACCATCTTGAAGTGCTCAAAAATGTCCTGTGCATGGGACAAAGCTCTTTGTACTTGATGAAAGATTGAATCAAGTTGGACAGTGCTGATACCTTGTTTCTTTTGTTTGCTCTAAGAGTAAACTAATCTCATTTATGCAGACCATTTATAGTTTGCTCAGGAGTGTGCTTGGCTGACCTTTGGCAGGCCCTTGTTTTGAAGCAGCACTTATTAAATCAAGTGTGTTTCTATTAGAAGCAGAATATTTGGACAGAACGACCCTTGTCATTATTGTTCCTGTTTATAGGGAACCTACTTATTAATTTTGATTGAATGCATAAACGTTCATTTTTTAAAACGACTATCATGACTTGTTTTCTCTATTCTTCTCCCAGTATGGGGCTAGTGAGGAGAGGAAGGGTATTATTTTCTATGCTTCTACAGGAGAATTATTTTCATAGATGCAGAGAAAACTGCACTGTTACTGTTTTTAAGTTAGTCTGTTTGAAATAGGAGGCATTATCCACATACTTTCAAAGATTCAGAAAAATTGTGGATCCTTTTCCTCAACAATGAATTAAACACAGTTAATATCTGTCTCAAGAGAGATTTTCCTCTGCAGATGGGACCTCAAAGAGCAGTTAATACCAAATGCACTTTTAAATCTTATTATGCAAGACTGAGAAGGACAGGGAAATAGAGGCTGAGAGCAAAAAGAGGTAGTTAGCCCTCTCTGAAGTCTTCTTGCTGGTAGCTGTTTCTCTCAATTTTAAATGTTTCTTTTTCTGAATGCTTATTTTTCTGATAAGTTAGTGGTTTTGTTAGGTAATTGTCCTGGGTTCAGCAGTAGCAGTCATGTTTTTCCTTTGTGTTAGCTGGTGCAGTGCTGTGTTTTGACTTCCAGCCTGGGAACAGTGCTGGTGAAGCCGATGTTTTCGGTTGTTGCTAAGTGATGTTTACCCTGACCAAGGACTTTGTGAGGCTCATGCTCTGCAGGGAGGAGGGGAAGCCGGGAGGAAGCAGAGACAGGGCGCCTGACCCAGGCTAGCCAGGGAGGTATTCCATACCACAGCATGTCATGCCCGGGGTGGGGGGTAACCGGGAGTTACCCAGAAGGACACAGGCTTCTGGGTGGGACTCGTTTCTTGGATGGTGGTATCGTATTCTCTTCCCTTGTTATTTTTCCCTTTTCATTGTTGTAGTTGGTGGTAGCGATGGTGATTTGTGTTGTACATTGGTTGCTGGACTGTTCTTGTCTCAACCCGTGGGAGTTGCACTCTTTCGATCCTCCTCCCTGTTCCTCTGGGAGCGGGGAAGGGGAGAGCCCCGGTGTTGGGGGGGGGTCCCTCGATTGCTGTCAGCCCAGCACCATTCACTGGGAGTGAGTGAACAAGTTACCTGACTGGGTTTAAACCACAACAGTTCTTTTTGGCGCCCAGCGTAGGGCACGAGGGGTTGAGGTAACGACAGATATGACTGGATTAATAGTCACTCGTCACAATGCTGATTTATTGGCTCTCAAGGTTGTTCTTCTTGATCTCACAGTTTCAGTATATCGTATCTTACTTCCATCCGGTATTTGCTGTATTAGTGTTTTTCAAGTGTGGGGCTTGGGCTAAGGTTTTTGTCCCATTGTACTTTATGGTAATGACTTGTAATACAATAGAATCATTGATCATGAAACTGATCTGGCTTATGTTCCCGGTGTGGTCACCACCTTTATACTTTGGGAGGTATATGATGGAGGTGCTTAGCAATTACACATCTTTTTTCTCCTTCTCAGGTGCTCAACCTGTGAAGGAGACATTCTTTTACCCTCCCAGTCGTCCCCCCAGACCATTTACGTTTGAGAGTTTTGAATTTTTTGAATGGCATTTTAATGCTGTTGAGACTTGTTTGCTGATCGTGATGGGAATCACCATGGTAGCACGCATACAGAGTGTGTTTTGCCCACTACTGATTTCAAGAGTTAAGCAGAGTCAGGTTTGGGTCTTGTCTGGGGTCAAATGACGATGTAGGAGGACCGAGAGATTTTCCCTGAGGCTGGACAGCCATGAGTGGCAGGGTGTGTGGGATAGTATGGGCAGGTATCTAGGTCAGTGGGCCCCTCCAGTACTTTGGAATTTCACTACCAAACAACTGCAAAATCCAGAAGAATTAGTAAAACACTTAAATGAGGTGTGTGGTCATTCTGGCCATACCAGAGATGGACAAATCATGGCAACGTGCTGGGGCTTGGCCTATGCTTACAGGGCCTTGTTCAACACTATCCAGCACCTTCAAAAGGAAAAGAATGTCGGCGGATCTGAGGGCAAAGCAACAGTCGCTACTCAAACTTTGGCTGCAATGAACTGCGCAGCTACCCCAGCGGCAAGTACAGCAGCTGCGCAAACTTCAACTGCAACAGACAGCGCGGTTACCCGAGCTCCAAGCACAGCAGCTGCATCACCCCCAGCGACAAGTACAGTTGCTACTCAAACCACAGTGATAATTACTGCAGCCAAACCAGACGACCAATTCGTACCAATATCGGTTGCCCCTGTACGCAAGAGAACAAGCAAAAAGGAGGCAAGAAGGGTGAAGCGAGATGAAGAAACAATGAATTCACCACCCGGTCCAGAATCTGATCAGGAGTCACCATCACATGACGAAGAAGAAGAAGAAGAGGTAACTTCTTGACCTCGGACCTCAACCAAGCTGCGGAATATGCGAAAAGATTTTACCCGTCAACCAGGGGAGCACATCATCACCTGGTTACTCCAATGCTGGGACAATGGGGCCGATGGTCACGAACTAGAAGGTACAGAAGCCAAGCAGCTGGGATCACTTGCTACAGAAGGGGGAATCGACAAAGCAATTGCAAGAGAGAAAAAGTCCCTCAGCCTTTGGAGGCGGCTCTTGGCAGCTGTGAAAGAAAGGTTTCCGTACAAGGACGATGTTACGAGTCGTTCGGCCAAGTGGACTACTATAGACAAAGGCACCCAGTCTCTGAGGGAATCGGCCATCGTAGAGATGCTCTATCACATCAAGCCGAATAACGGGGATACACCCATAGATCCAGATGAAGTTGAATGTACACGACCCATGTGGCGAAAACTGACACGGAATGCACCGTCATCACATGCACGTTCATTGGCAACAGTAACCTGGAATGACATAGTACCACTAACAGTGGATGAAATGGTTCATAAACTCCGAGAGTTTGAAAACAATCTCACCCCTTCCATCATCTCAGCTGTGAAAAAACTGTCCCAGGACCTCGAACAATTGAGGGATGATCTATCTGATTTATCCAGCTCCTCACGTGTACCAACACACGTCTCAGCTATTAACAAAAGGCGTCCTATTGTTCCAGAGAGGAGATACAGGAGGTATACGCCACGGGGTACCCTATGGTTTTACCTGCTGGATCACGGAGAAGACATGACAAAGTGGGATGGAAAACCTACTTCAGCTTTGGAGGAACGGGTGAGTGAACTGAAGAGGGGAGCAAGGGCCAAGACTGATCGTCCCATGAGAGCTACGGCTTCAGTCTCTGGTGAGCAGTTTCCCAGGTGGAATGGAAGAGCTGATTTTACTCCAGCTCCTGTGATAATGAAGAATAATCCCTTTTACCCCGACTTAAGTGTCCAACGCTGTGATGACCATTAGAGGGGCCCTGCCTCCAGCCAGGTGGAGGTAGGGGACAATCGGATTTACTGGACTGTGTGGATCAGGTGGCCTGGCACATCAGTCCCACAGAAGTGTAAGGCTCTAGTAGATACCGGTGCACAGTGTACCCTGATGCCATCAAGCTGTCAAGGGGTGGAACCCATCTATATTTCTGGAGTGACAGGAGGATCCCAAGAGTTGACTGTGCTGGAGGCTGAAATCAGCCTGACTGGGAGGGAATGGCAAAAGCACCCTATTGTGACTGGTCCAGAGGCTCCATGCATCCTCGGCGTAGACTACCTCAAGAGAGGGTACTTCAAAGACCCAAAAGGGTACCGGTGGGCTTTTGGTATTGCTGCTTTGAAGACTGAGGAAATTGAGCAGCTGTCCACCTTGCCTGGCCTCTCAGAAGATCCTTCTGCTGTGGGTTTGCTGAAAGTTGAAGAACAACAAGTGCCAATTGCGACCACAACAGCGCACCGGCGGCAATATCGCACCAACCGAGACTCCCTGATTCCCATCCATCAGCTGATCCGTAGACTGGAGAGTCAGGGGGTGATCAGCAGGACCCGCTCGCCCTTTAATAGCCCCATATGGCCAGTGCGAAAGTCTAATGGAGAATGGAGACTAACAGTAGACTATCGTGGCCTGAATGAAGTCACACCACCATTGAGTGCTGCCGTACCGGACATGCTAGAACTTCAGTATGAACTGGAGTCAAAGCCAGCCAAGTGGTATGCCACGATTGATATTGCCAATGCATTTTTCTCAATTCCTTTGGCAGCAGAGTGCAGGCCACAGTTTGTTTTTACTTGGAGGGGTGTCCAGTTCTATTGGAACCGACTGCCCCAGGGGTGGAAACACAGCCCTACCATTTGCCATGGACTGATCCAGACTGCACTGGAACAGGCACAAGCTCCAGAACACCTGCAATACATTGATGACATTATTGTGTGGGGCGATACAGCGGAAGAAGTCTTTGAGAAAGGGAGGAAAATAATCCAAATCCTGCTGAAAGCCGGTTTTGCCATAAAACGGAGTAAGGTCAAGGGACCTGCACAGGAGATTCAATTTTTGTGAATAAAATGGCAAGATGGACATAGACAGATCCCCACAGATCTGATCAACAAGATAACAGCAATGTCTGCCCCAACTAATAAGAAAGAAACACAAGCTTTCTTGGGTGCTGTGGGGTTCTGGAGAATGCACATCCCAAATTACAGTTCGATTGTAAGCCCTCTCTATCATGTGACCCAGAAGAAGAATGATTTTAAATGGGGCCCTGAGCAGCAACAAGCCTTTGAGCAAATTAAAGGAGAGATAGTTCATGCAGTGGCCCTTGGACCAGTTACCGGACCGGGCCAGATGTAAAAAATGTACTGTACACTGCAGCTGGGGAGAACGGTCCTACCTGGAGCCTCTGGCAGAAAGCTCCAGGGGAGGCTCGAGGTCGACCCCTCGGCTTTTGGAGTCGGGGATATAAAGGATCTGAGGCCAGCTATACC